GTTGTGTTATAATCTGTTATGTTATAATGTTATGTTATATTAAAAGAATGCTATACTAAAACTGTACTAAAGAAAGAGAAAGGATCCATCAGAAAGCTTAACAGGAATAATAATGAAAAACCCATGACTGACTCCTCAGAGTCTGACACAGCTGGCTGTGATTGGTCATGAATTAAAAACAATTCACATTAAATCAATCAAACATTCACCTGTTGGTAAACAATCCCCAGCCACATTCCAAAGCAGCAAACACAGGAGAAGCAATCAGATAATTATTGTTTTCATTCCTCTCTAAGGCTTCTCATCTTCCCGGCAGAAGAACCCTGGATAAAGAGGATTTTTCAGAAAATATCACAGTGACAGAGAACAAGGTGGGTTTAAGGTCCCTCCCAGCCCAAACCAGCCGGGGGCTCTGTGCCATCCCCCTGACAGGCACTGCCAAACTCAGCTTTTGGGGAGAAGGTGAAGCTGCATCCCCTCTGCTCTGCCCCAGCTCCAGGAAATGCTGTGAAAGCAGATCCTGTTTGGTGGCTGTTGAATTAAATCATGGCAAAATGCACACGGGACTAAAGGGCACAAAGCAAGAGAGCACAGATGGTAAATGTTCATCTAAGCCTCAGTTTAGAAGGTCAGAGATTTCCTTCTACATCTTATCAGGGGCTGAAATTTTCCCATTAATCACTTTTTTCAGATCTAAAACCCATCAGATTTGAACAGCTTCAAGGAGCCCAGCTCCTGAGCAAACCTTCACCCAAGTCAGGGGGTACAGGGCAGCTCTTTTTAAAATACAATTTTGTTTGTTTAAAACAATATTCAAGCTCCAGATGAAGGAATTCTATGTTGCATTTTCCATGCTTTGTTTGCAAAACAAAATCTTTGCAAAAGTTGCCAGGCCAGATGAGACTCCAGGGATTTGATGCTGCAAGATAAATATTTTGCTTAGGTAATGCCACATCAATCTCACCTCACATTCCCTTTGAGAGGAGCTGGATCAAGAGCTAGAAACTACAGATCTGGGAGGGAAGTGAAAAGCTTTGAGCCACATGACATTAATTTCCATAGAAGAACTCCTAAGAATTTTTTATCATGTCTTTAATTTTCTGCTGGGAGAGGCAGCCAAACTAAAGTGGAATACAGAATGCATGTAATGGATAATGTATATGTAATGGAAATATAATATGGAAGAGATTCACTGCAAAATCCTAAGTTCTGGATGATTTTCAAATTATTTTCTTGTTCATTCTGGTTACATTTTGAATCAAGTTCCTAACTTCATAACCAGTGGAAAATTAACTGGCAAGATATAAAGAAAAAATGTTGGGAGCCAACAAATCAGCAGCATCTGAGAGCCAAGGAATTGATGAAAAATGGAAATTAATCTAATGGAGCAGTGAGTCAGGGAATAGTGCATGGCTGTAAATCCAGAAAAGTGCAATACACCAAACAAATTGCTTGGAATTTGGCCATGTATAACATAAATGGTTTCTCTACTGAGCCAAATTCTTCCAGAGAACACTCAGCTCTCCTGGAGATCAGGTCTCACTCCATGTATTCAATATTTCATGAGAGAGCAGATGGGAAATACTCTTCAAATTCTTAGCAACCCCCATTTTAAAAGTCTGGTTGTGACAATCATAAATCCTGCAGACTTTTAAAAATTTTTCTTTCAAAAATGAACAACTGGAGTCTTTCATTTGGGTAATAGCAAAATTTACAGCATGAACCTGTGCCAGATTCAAATTTCTGCTTCAAGCAAGAAATATCCCCAGAACTGCCTGGCGGGCAGGAATTTCTTGTGAGATCAGGAGACTTTGGATGGGGGTTTGAAGCCCCTTTCTCAGTGACTCCTTTGGGAAATCACCAGCCTTGTAGGGAATGGGAAAGGCAAAACATCACTCCCCTGCATGGCTTGACAAGGAAAACAGAAATCTTATTCCCTGAGTGACCCCAGGCAGGAATTACAGCCCCCCTTTGGGAATTACACTCTCTCTAAAGGTGATCATGTCCCCAGTGGCACTGACAGATCAGCCAAATTTAATTCCTGCAACAGCAAGGATTTGCTGCCTTGGGAAATGTGGGAAATAGAATTATAACATCTGTATTGTCTCACCCTTCACATGAGCCTGAAAATGGAATAAAAGTTTTTAAAATGCCTGCCAGTTGCTCCATCTCTGGGTCAAAAAAACCCTTAATCCAACAGGGAAAGTGGAGTTTTGTGAGGGAAATCTCAAAGCAGGGAGCTCAGCCAGCTGCAGCCTTCCCATCCCCACTGCTCCCTGCAGCCAGGGCAAACAAACACCCAGGGGAGCACCAGGAACACAGAGTTATGGGGCTGCAGTAAACTGGTGAGGAAAGGGGCAACAGGATAAAATGGGAAAGCAGAAAAATAACTTTCCAAAGAGCATCCCATGAGCTGTGCCAGAGGTCAAACAGAGAGTGAGGAGCTGTGCAAAGGGCAGGGCAGGGCTGCCAGCACTCACAGGCTGCTCTGTGACTGCAGAGATCTCCATGAGCTATCCAGGAATAACCAGCCAACTGTGCAGGATCAGTTGCTCAAAACTCCCAATTTTACAGATCTTTTATCAATGGGGAGGAGGTGCAGCTGCCAAGGGGAAAGCTGACTTCCAAACAGTCAGGATTTGGTTTTCAGAGCCAGTTCCTGAAGAGCAGCACAGGGAGAAGGAAGGGGATGTGTTTGCAGGAGAGCATAAAACCCCCCTGGTTTCTCCATCAAGAGCAGAAAGTGCTGCTCAGGACCTGAAGCACATTCTGCAAGCAGGGCCCAGCTCCTCTCACGTGTACTTTGGAGGAGAAATGTCCTCACACCACAGGCAGGAGCTCCAAAAGCCACAAGACCATGGCAGGTGGCACATCAGAGTGCTGTCAAGCTGTGATCGATCTCAGGCTCAGCAATTCTCCAGGCGCAAACTCTGACATTTCATTAAGGGCAGCACCTTTTTCATTCAAGCACATCCCAGAGTTATTAAGGAGCCCAAAGGGCACCAGTGACAGTGATGTGGTGCTGGGTACCCACAAATGTTTCCTGTGAGATTTGGACTGTTTGGGTCAGATCTTGGCTGCTCAGAGATTGTTGGTGAGGGGAATCACAGGGACAGGATCAGGTTTTATGGTTTGTGAAGGCTTTGGCACAGCCCTGCTCTACATTGAGACCTTTTGTGGCCCTGTGCCAAATGTCAGCTCAGTGACACTGGACACAATTGTGAAAAATGTGTATTTTATGATTGGCTTTTTGCCAATATTTAAAATGAATATTATATGTGTTATGTTAGAAAGTTAGGCTGTGTTAATTTTCTTAAGTAGTGTGTTTAATATAGTTTTAGGTTATAACATAAGGTTAAAATAGAAACTGTGCTATGTAGGATACTTTTTTTAAAGAGAGGACTCACCCAGGATCAGAGCTTTCTCCTACATCTCTTCTTTGGGTAAGAGCTGACAGGACGGATCCACAGCCTTTGGACTCATCCCAGGACATGGAATACCAAGTTTAATACCAAAAGTTTAATACCAAACCCTCTTAAAGATCTGCCTGACATTTTCTTGGAGGCAGCAGCATGATCTCAACCTTGATTAACTGAGTAGCAGTCAGCTAATTAGTCACCTAATGAGTCATCCTGCCAGCTCTACCTGTGAAAGTTCAAGAGGCAGAGCAGAAGTCCCACAGAGACCTACAGGAAACTAATGCACAGTATTTTTAATGTCACCACATTAAACATAAAACCCAAACATTGTTAGAAACAGAACTGGCTACTAGGAGAGAGAGAAAAGAGAAGGAAAAAGGATGGGACAGTTTTCAGGACAAATTTGCCATGATACCTGTACCAGCACAAACAGTAATAACAAATTAATAAAAAAATACCAGTAATAAAAAAATTTAAAAATACCAGTAGATCTGAGAAAAACAAGCTCTAAAAATTCAGAGCAAGTGCTGTTATTGCATCACTGCAGAAACCCAGGTTTATCCATGGCCCTAAGTAAACAAACACATCCTTCCTCAGAGCTACCTGCCAGCAGGGATAGCAAAATAAGAGTAAATCTTGTAAAATCTGTTATCCAATCTGTTAAATTTGGGGAATTTGGAGGAGGATGTGAGTGCACAGCTCAGGGGCACCTCAGGGACTGGTGCTTCAGAGCACCTGTGAGGAGCAAGAGGCAAACATGGGAAATTTGGGATTAGCCATGTCACACACCAGCCACCTAACAGCCAAAAGGCACAGATAAGAAATAGCCAGGCCCATCTGCAGAGAGTCAGAAATGTATGAAAACATCTGGGAAAAGGAGCAGAGCTTCTGGGTGCTACAGTGACACAAACAGCCAGGGAAAGGCATGAAAAAAAAATCCACTTTGTCCTTCACAGAGCTGAATACCACAGCAGATACTCACATGCTGCAGCAAATCAGCCTCCACTTAGAATGTCATTATTTTGAAATGCAAAAATCACCACACACGTTTTGCTCGCACCCAAACAGAACTTCCACCAGCAGAGGAAGAGCAGCCTGTTCCAGCCCAGGTTAACTCAAACCCACAGGGCCATCCCACCCCTCGCTGCCTGTAAATATTTGGGCACAAAGCTTTTGAGTGGTTTCAGGGGTAGCGGAGGCCAGTGCTCAAATGCAAAAGGAGTCACCCCAATCTTCACTTTGGAAAATATCAGATTTTAGGGAAGAACTCGGGAAACAGAACAGGAAAGGGACAGCAAGGGCAGAAGGAGCAGCTTGTTCCAGCCCATGTTAACCCAAACCCACAGGGCCATCCCACACCTTGCTGTTTGTAAATAATCGAGCACAAAGCTTTTGAGTGGTTTCAGGGTTGTCAAGGCCAAATTGTTCAATTACAAAAGGGGTCACCCCAATCTTTCCTTTGGAAAGCAGCAGATTTTAGGGGAGAACTTGGGAAACAGAGCAGGAAAGGGACAGCAAGGACATGACAAACCGGGATGTGGGATGAAGGATGACTCGGAGGTGCGCACATTCCCCTCTTACCTGCTTCCATGAGCTGGCACTGCTGCCCAAACACCTGGGAGAAGGTGACAGGCCCTGCAGCAGGGCTGGAGGAGGCCGGGGGGGAGTCCATGGCTTCCCTGCAGAGCTGAGTGTTGGTCATGGAGCAGAGCCCGAGCTGCCAGCCCTGCTGTCCCCCACGGATCCTCAGGGCAGGAGGAGACACCCAGGGAGGAATGGAGCTGCCCCTTTCAAGGAGCACACGTTTTCAGCTGAGTGCCAGCAGTATTTTCTTGGAGAAATCCAAAGCTCTGTGCCTCTCCCGGGAGGTTCCGGCGAGTCCTGGGCAGGTCCGGCGGCTTCAGGCACAAATTAGCGCCGGGCACTGAGGATCGGCCCCTTCTGGGGCATCTGCCATGATCACAGCAAAGTCCTGAGGCTCTTTCCTCTCCTGAGTATCCAAGCCCAGCCCTACCTTGTCCATGAGCTCGGACACATCTCTAGAGCACGGGAATTCTCCTGTGGGGATGCGGAGGCTCCGTCCTTCCCGTCCTGCCGCTGTGAGAGCACCGGGGATGCCGGAGCACCGGGGATCGTCCTCGGCAGGGCTCGGAGCTCCAGCTGCCCCTCAGGAGCCCGGGCTGCCCCTCAGGACCTCAGGGGAGGCTTTAGGAGAGGTTTCCAGCGGGGGTTTTCAGGGGAGGGTTCCAGCGGAGGCAGCCGCGGGCGGCACCGGCCGGGCCGGGCCGGGCTCGGGGGGCTCTCGGCATCACCCCCGCCGCTCGTCCCTTCCCTCCAGCCCGCTCCCCCCTTCCCCCAGCCTCACCGGCGAGGGGGAGGAGACTGGAGCCACGTTAAATAACATCCTGTGCCCTGCTGCAGTGCCCGCCCGGCCCTCCTCCCTCTGCCCGCATGCAGCGGCTGCTCCCGGAGTGCTCTGGAGGCGCTGGGAACTCCGGCAGGGAACAACAAGCCGGCTGCCTTAACCCCTTCCCCTGGCTGCCTTAGCCCTTTCTCGCTTGCCTTAACCCCTTCCCGCCTACCTTAACCCCTTCCCGCCTACCTTAACCCCCTCTCGGCTGCCTTAACCCCCTCCTGCCCGATTTAACCCCCTCCTGGCCGCCTTAACCCCCTCCTGCCCGAGGGATGCTCCAGGGACAGAGGAAAGGATGCGAGCACCGGCTGCCAAACCTGCCCGCGGTGCCCATCCCTGGAATTCCTTCAGTGCAAGCACCAGGCAAGGCTGTTTCCAGGGAAAAGCGGCCAAGAGTTAACTCCCAGCAAAGTCTGACAGCGCTGATTCATCTGTCTGAAAAGCTCCCCCTGCCAATGCAAAGGATGCTGACTCCGGCAGCGCTGCGTGAATCTGTGGTCCGTGAGTCAGCGGAGCTTTTTTTGGGAGAAGTCTGCTGGGAAGAAAGGTTCCCGCGTGGTTGGGAAAACACACGGTGAGCCGGGTGGGAATGAGAAAATCTGCTGTGAGACTGCAGCAGCAGAAAGGCCAGGGCAGAGAATGAGGGGTTCCTGCAGGTACACAGGGCTGACCGCAGCCCAAGGAGGCAGAGAGGGGCCGGGAACACCTGGAAAATTCCGAGCAGAGGGAATTGAAGTCGCATCTCGTGCTCTGTGCTGCAGCAGCATCGCCGTGCAGGGTGAGAACCCAGCCGGGAGCTGTCCACAAAATCCCGGCTGGGTTCGGAGTGTTGTGTTTGCTCCCTCAGATATTACATCGATTTAAGGAACAAATATTTTACAGTGAGGGTGGAGAAGCCCTGGCACAGGTTGCCCAGAGAAGCTGTGGTGCCCCATCCCTGTAAACATTGAAGGTCAGGCTGGATGGGGCTCTGAGCAGTCTAATGATGTTGGAGATGTCCCTGCTCATGGCTGGACTAGGTGCCCTTTAAAGCATCCTGTAACTGGTCTAGGATTCTATGATTTGTATGATTTTAGGCTCAGATTATCTTTGTCAGAGTCCAAACAAACAGACCAGAGACTACTTTGCATATTTATTTCACAAAAGACACAGGAACAATTTCTGTCCTCACGCAAACGAGATTCAACCTGACCTTCCTGTCTACCACATGGAGGAAAAGCAAAAATTGGGCTATATGGTCCATATATCTTAAACATTTATGCCCGTGGCTGCTTTCTTCCTCCCTAACTGTGCCTGTTGCTGTCCCTGACCATGTCACATGAAATCCTCCCAGAGCTGTTTGGTAACTTCTCTGCAGAACCCACTGCAGAGCAGCATCCAGCTCTGAAACAGTAAAGCCTTATTTAGGACAAAAAAAAAAAAAAAAAAAAAAAAAAAAAAAAAAAAAAGAAATTATGCAAGAAGCTACCTGCAAATCCTTATTTCCTTCGCAAAGCTTTTCCAGCTTTGGTATCAGGTATTTTGGGAAGTCTGAACCTCTCAAGTACCTCAGCCAATGGGGAAAGAGAGAAGGGAAAAGTGGCTGGAAATTGGGATAAAAAGGAGGCTGTGTCCTCCAAAAATTGGAGAAATCCCAGGGGATGCCCCATGGCCTCTCCCTTTATTGGAATAAAGCCAGAAAAGGACTCCTCTGTCTCCTTTTGGACATAAACCTCTGGTGTTTGTGGGTTAATTTTCCTGACATGTCCCTGCTCAGCATCACCACCTTCTCTCCCCAGCAGAGGAGCTCAGCAGTGCCTTCCCTTCCCTCTGGACACACTCCAAGGGTTGCTCACTTGAGCTCAGCACATTTTGTTCCTAAGAAATGACCCTCCCTGAGGTACAGAAATGACATTTTCCACCTCACTGCAGCTCACCTGGATTTCCCTCACAGCTGACACCTGTGCTGCTGCGCTGAGCCCCACACATCACCCAGTGCCAGATTTCCTCCTCTGGGTTTCTGTGCTTCCCACAGCACCTGGGATCTGTTTAGTTTGTACAAAGTTCCTTAAGGTGCCCCCAGTTCTGCTGCTGCCACTGTGAGCTCCATCAGCTGCAGCACAGAAATAACTACAAACAGAAAACAGAACACATAACCTGACTCAAAGCTTCTCTCTCTAGGTGAAAAGGAAATAAGTGTTAGGAATAATGAGAATAATGTGCCCCTTGTTGAGATGCTGGAGCTGAATTTAGAGGAGCTGTGTTTGCACACAGTGAATGAAATCTGTGGACTCAGTGCCCTGAAGTGTGGGAGGAAGGTGAAAGGAGAGGGAAATTAACCCCAAACCCTCACTGAGGGGGAGCTTTTTCTGCAAAGGACTCCACTGCTGGAGCTGGGTTTGCTCATGGGCAGATTTACCCATGTCAGGAAAATTAATCCACAAACACCAGAGGTTTATGTCCAAAAAGGAGACTGAGGAGTCCTTTGGCTTTATTCCAATCAATGCAGAGGCCATGGGGAAATTCCCTTGGGGTCTCTCCAAGTTTTGGAAGATGCAGCCTCCTTTTTATCCCAATTTCCCAGCCACATTTCCCTTCTCTCTTTCCCCATTTCTGAGGTACTTGAGAGGTTCAGACTTCCCAAAACACCTGATCCCAAAGATTTCCCTCTAATGTACAGCCCTCCCTTTTCATTTTTAATTCTTATGGAATTTAGTGCTTTTTCTTCCCCATTGTTTCTTTCATCTCTTAATGTCTAATTTCATTTATCAGCAAACCTAAAGTTTATTTGTAAAAGCAAATATCTTTTTTCATTCATCAATCAGTGGAATCGTTTCTATTGGTTTTTTTATGATCCACAGCTGGTTTGTAAAGATGAATCTCCCATTCCTCTTACCCAGATGCAGCAACACAAGCACTTTTAGAACTCCACAGCTGAATTTCCATCAGCCAAGTGCCAGGAAAAGTCCATCTAATGCACCTTTATCAGCCCTTGCCCTGGAATGACAGCTGAGAGATCTCCCCAGGTAATTTAATGAGGCTGCTGCTGTTCATTTGCTCCCCACTGATGACCAGAGCCCCCAAAATGCAAAGGGAGCTGTAGCCCCACGTTTCTTTTCACAGAGAAAAGCAAAGCACAATTCTTCTCAAGAATATTTCTGGGTTTCACATTCTCTGAACCCCAGAGAAACAAAACCCCATCACTTTGGGTAAACAATCCCCATATTGCATTCTACTTTGGCACAAACACATCAAATGAGATAAGAATATTCTTGGGAAGAATTGTGCCTTGCTTTTCTCTGTGAGGAGAAACGTGGGGCTCCATGGGCTCTGTGCAGCTCCAGCCCGTGCTGGCAGCAGGGCCAGGTCACACCAGGACAGAGGAGCCTTGGAAAATGCAGCTCAGTGCAGATCTGCTCCTCTTCCCTACCCAATTATCCCACGAACACACAACAATGTGCCACAGGAAAATGCATGAAAGGGAGAAAGAAGCTCAGCTAAACTCATTACACCATGGGAACAGACGTTCCATTGCTGTGGCACTTCTCAGCTCCAGAAATACCCTGTGGGACAAATGGGGTTATTCACCACAGTGTTCTTTGCAGCAAAGCATTTGGGAATGGGGGAGGGCTCAGGAAAGAACATTCAGAAATTATCCTTCATGAGATGTCAGCTGAGAACTTATTTCTTGTGTCAGAAATCAGCATTTCCCTGGTGCAAGGCAGAGACTCTGGGAGGAAAAAAGGCAGCTCAGGATTTCTGCATTTTCTTGCAGCACAGCACTGTCACAGGGAGGGCTGGTGGAATCACTGGATGCACGGGGATGTGTGGATGGGATTATTCCTGCTCAGACCACACCACTGCCATCAGCTCTGGGAGGTTTCTGCAGTTCTGGTGCCTGTGTCCTGCAAGGCAAATGGAATTTTGTAGAACTCACTTTGAAGAAAAGCACTTAAGGTTTGGCATCAGAGGCAGCAATTAAACACATTTCTGCTTTCCTTCAGATTACATCTCCAGCAGCTCTTGGCTGAAAGTCAATTCTGTTTGGTTGAGTTTTATTCTTTCAAAAAAAAAAGAAGAAAATTACGTAAGTGGTGCAGAAAGAAAATGCCCTTAAGGACTTAGGGAATATTTTGGGTTGACTATCAAAAGTAAGGCTTTAATATGGATTAATTAATTTATAAATATCCTTGTAGGAAAGAAATACCAACTCTGAAAGGCGTCTAATCAGTTGGTGCTGGGCCCAGAGAGGAGCTGGACTCAGACACAGGATCTGCCAGGACTGCAGGATTTCCCTTGAAGGTCAAATTAAGCAGCATTCCTGAATCAATACAGCCCAGGTAAGCCTGACAGAGGAACCCAAGGAAGAAATTCAGAGTCTGTCAGTTCTGTCAGTTTAACACTCCAGCTGTAGGAAAATTCAACATATAAGAGAGTAAATACATTGTGCAGAAGGCAAGATGTGAGTTTAATAATGAGCACTATGTTTTATAGCATAAATTTTCTGATGCAATGCCCATCCCCACACAGCCATTCCCCAGAGCTTCACTGGGGCAGCGCAGAGGCCCAGAGGAGCTGACTCTGGGCAAGGAGAGGAGCCTGCAGTCAATCCCCTCCCCAGCTCTCACACAGGCACACAAGGACAAAAAGATTAACAGCAAACCAACCCTGCAAAGTGCTGCTGGAGTCAAGGTGACCCAAAACTTAGCACAGAAAGGGGGAGTGGCCCTATTTGCATTAGCAGCTCATATCTAAGAGAATATGAACTGCTCTCAGAGAAATGCCCCTTCTTCCAAGGCAGCTGCAAAGCCTGATAAGAACCAAATGTGGCCCAGCATTGTCACCATGATATTTTATGAAAAATCCCTTTGCCAGGATTTCCTCTCCTGGGAAGCTTCAGCTTCTCCCTGTTTTGCTCCTCTGCAATGGGATTTGGAGAATAATTTACCCAGCATGTGAATTGTTTTTAATTAATGGCCAATCACAGCCAGTTGTGTCAGAGTCTCTGAGTCTGTCACAGGTTTTTATTATTCATTCTTGTCTAGCCTTCTGATGTCCCCTTTCTCTTTCTTTAGTATAGTTGTAGAATATAATTTCCTATAATATTACATGATATATTACGATACTATATAATACGATGCGATACAATACAATATGATATAATACAATACGATATGATATGATGTAATGTAATGTAATGTAATATAATATAATATTTCTAAGAACATGGGGTCAGATTCATCAATTCCTCCTTCCTCCTGGGGACCCAGCAAATACCACAAATGGACTCCTGTGGTCTGTGCCCACTCCTGAGCACACAGAGCTCTGTCCCACAGCCTTGGAGGAGCATTTACCTTGGAGCATTTACCTTGGAGCATTTACCTTGGAGCATTTACCTTGGAGCATTTGCCACCAGCACAGGCACCAAGCACTGAGGCACACCTGAACTTTGGGAGGGGATCCAGGCACTGGCAGTGTCGTGTCCTCTGCATCCTTCTGCCACACAGAGCTGAGCAGCCTCCAGGCAGCAGCTTCAGGATGAGAAAATGATCCTCCTTGTCTGTTTTTGGATGGAGCCTTCTCCCAAAAAAGCCACAGCTCTTATAGAAAGGAGTAATTAGTGCTGCTCCATGTGACAGCGCAGACAGACGAATGGAGCACGCAGCTGTTTAAAGAATATTTCTCAAGGTTCTTGTGCAGGGACAGAGTGACAGCTCAGCACAATCAGGTCCCTTCAAGCTCACCTGAAGCTGGGTGGCATTTCCTGAGAGCCAAACAGGCTGTGACAGTGCCAAAGGGGCCTGGCAGCCTGTCAGGCTGCTGCAGGCACTGGCAGGCGACAGTGACAACAGTGGCTTTCCTCTAAGAGACCAGATTTATAATGCATAAGGAACCTTCAGATTTTCTGGGGTGAAAGAGCCATTTTTAGCCTCTGTGAAATTAATATTAATATACATAATTCAGCAGTTCCCAAACCTATTTATTGCACCTGCTGTTTTTAAGGGTGGGATGCATGGGATTAATGCACCCATGACAATGGCTGCCCACCACCCTCAGCGATTCGATGTCGCAGACATTTTTTCATAGAAATCTTTTCTTTGGGACTTGTTCATTTTCTGGGAAGCTGAGGCCCCAGAAACAGAATGTAAACAATGATTATCAGCTGCTGTGGAATGCAATAAGATGCACCTGAGATTGGCCCTTAATTGTACACATGGAACATGAACCAATCACAGGGCAAGCTCTCTAGAACACAGGGACAGAGAACTCTCTTGTTTTTAGATTCCTTCTGTTCTATTCTTGGCTTATCAGTCTCTGCAAGCTCTCTCTTTATTCTTTTTAGTATAGTTATAATGTATTATATATTATATATCAATAAATCAAGCCTTCTGATCAAGGAACAAGATTCTCGTCCTTCTCTCACCCAGTGACCCCCTAAGGTCACTGTAATAATTCCCTTACAGGGTTTTCAACTGGAGGAGGTTTCATTTAGAGCAGATTTAAAGGAGATTTTTACAATGAGGGTGGTGGGGCCCTGGTTGCACAAAGCTGGGGCTGCCCCATCCCTGGCAGTGTCCAAGACCAGGCTGGACAGGGCTTGGAGCACCCTGGGATAGTGGGAGGGTGGAGAATGGCAGGAGCAGAATGGGATGAGCTTCAAGTTCCCTCCAGCCCAAACCACTTTGGGATTCTATGGAAAGAGCCAAATGGCCCTGAAGAAAGCATAAAATGTCTGAGTGTGCTGTGATGGCACACACAGTTTATGAACCAGGGAGGAGAACAGCCCTCCCTGCACTCCCTGCCCGAACAATTCCCTCCCAGCTGAGGGAGCAGCCTTGGGCCCACAGTGCTGACAGACCTCAGCAGGGCTGGGATGCAGAGGGGCTGCAAGGGGCCCATGGGCTGCTGCTCCAAGCCTGCAGAGCTGGGGTGGAGCTGTCAGGGCAATGAATCCCTGTCTGTGTGCACTGAACCTGCCAGAGCAAGGTGACACTCACATCTCCTTCCTCCTTCCCCACCAGGAAAACCCCAAACCATTCCATTGTTTCAGAGCTACAGCACAGCCTCCATTTTCAAGACCTCCTTGGCTGAAATAACAATAAATATTTCCATAATGCAGTTTTTCACATTAATTTATTGTTGTTTTTTTCCTTTACATGGCAGACAAACAGAGCTTTCAGTCCTCCAGAGCAATTCAGAGCCCCAGCACAAACCAGGTCCCACCACATCTCCACAGAGTTTATTTTCAATAAACTCCTCAGTATCAGAGCCCTGCAGAGCTGCCAGTGTTGTCCTTGTAAATTCTACATGCAAAACCTGAGCTTTTCCCCACCCTCTCCTTGAATTTTCACAAGAATTTGTGATATTGGTCAAGGGCAAAATTTCACGTTTCATCAGCAGGCACGGGGGAGGTTAAAAATTTGCTGCAAAACTGTGAAATTCTGCCTTGGGAAAAGATGGCATACTTTTCCTGAATTCACTGTGAATGAAATCTCCTCACAGGTCCAGAGAAATGACATCATTTTGAACTGATGCTTTTTTTTTTCTGCAAGAAAAATCATCCCCCCCACCCTCCTCCCAGAAAAACTGCATTTTTATCTGAGGAAAAATGATGAAATCTGGTGCAACCATGGGTTATTTCTTGTTGTGACATGGATATTTTTCTGCTACAGCTTAGACTGTAATGGACCCTTCAAACAGACCAGTACAATATAAAGCTGTGTGCTCTGGTCTCTGGGTTGAGTCACATCTTATAAAAGTTTAAAAACAGAGCATTTACAATCAGGGACATAAAGACGTGCTTCTAAAATTGTAAATACATATTTACAGGCTTGTGTGATAAACCAGAATTTCTCTGGGAAAAACCTTCCTATATCACAAAAATGTACACACTTCTCTCCTTGAGAATGTCAGGTTTTATAGTTGGTAACACTCTAAAAAGGGCAGCAAAAATAAATTGCACAGAAGTGGCCTCTGGTAACCTCCCAGGGATGCCTTAAAGGCACTAAACTGGGCAGCATCCATGCCAGAACTCCATCCTTAATTGAACTGACTGGAATTTGAGTGGGTCTGAGGAGAATGGATTGTTTAAAGCAGTTTTTGGGCTGCATGGCAAGAAAACTCCTCCTCAGCAACAATCCTCAAGCGATAATTTATACACTAGCTGTGATCTTTGACAAGGTGTCCTACAAAGCTGCACTGGGGAAATCAATCATAATCAATCAATCACTAATAATACTGGTGCTTTATTCAGAGTATATTGGGTTTATTAGCACTTTATACTCATCTCTCAAGTGATTCAGGTGCTCTCCAGACACACAGGAAGAGCACTGCTGTTTGAAAGAACAGGGTTTACCATACTAACATTGCACGATGAGAGAAAGGACAAAATGTGCAGAGAAAATAAAAATAAAAAGGTAACGTGCAAACCCAAAGTGAGACAAACTGCTCAGAGAGCTGTGTGTGCACACCAGCTGCTTGGACATAGACAAAAGGGCAGGAAAATTAATTTTTTGTGCTGTTTGACCAAAATTTACCAAGCTGCCTAGCAGATCTGGATGCTCCCTTCCAACTAATTTGGATAACTAATGAGATTCTCATTCTTCCAAGGCTGCTGTGAAAAATCCCAGCCTTTGTTTGCAATTAGTACATCTCCTTTTTCTGCTGGATAAAAACTCCAAAGGGAACAAACCCTGGAGACCCTCCAGCCCAGTGGATCTCAGTGGTCTCAGTCCTGGACTGCAGCATCACTTCCAGCATGGGAGGGATGCAGAATTTTATGGCTCATCCATTTCTCAGCCTTCCCCCAAACCACAATTGCACTTAGAAAGCCTCCAAGAGGGGTTTATCCAAAAAATCTGTGGTGAGATAATACAAGATCCTGAAAACCTTTTCTTTCCAACTCAAACAACATACACCTTAAACATTTTTATGGTGAACCATGTTTCTTCTATAAAGCTCTTCAATTAATTCTGAACAATTTGATTTTCATCAAAACTATACAAAATTAACTGTTTCCAGCAATTCCATACATATATATTTTTATCTGTCATATATATATCTATATATGAAGATATATATATATAAAATTGATCCTTTTTTTGACTTTTTCAGGGTGCTGGGGAGGAATATCAGCTGGGCACTTGTTTCTTCCTAACTAATGTGTGCATACACAGATCTGTGCTTATCTGTGTGGAGTGCAAAGTCAAGGACAGGAATAAATTGACTGAAACAAGAAGGAAGTACAACAATCAACCCCTTTGGCCTCCTTAAAAAGTTCCAAACTTGGATGCTAAGCTAGCAGGGATCATGGAAAATCATGTGTTGGCAGAAGGAACACTTCATCTGAACAGGGCAGAAGTTCTGCTCAGAAGTGGCAGATGATGTACCTGGGTGTGACTGACCCTATTTGGGGACAGGAAAGAGGTAAGAGACCTTTCTGCTCTGTATTTATCAGCTGACCTGTGTGTTTCTGCAATTACACTTTACTGGCTGTCCTCAGGGATGGCCTCGTTCAGCACCCCCAAAACCAAACACATCCAGAGACACAAACACAGGTGCTCTATTTAAGGACAAATGTTGTATTTAAGGACAAGTCTGGCCTGATCCTGCACAGCAACACCTGTGTTTGATACTGTCCCTAAATCAAGAAATAAATCCTGGTTCTAAACAGCAACAGACTGGCAACAGAAATGGATGTTTTTCTTTTGAGAAATGGATGTTTGTCCCTTCATGGGACTGGGCTCTCAGTGCATTTCCCAATAACCATGTGTCCTGAGGCACTGCAAAAACAGCATCTGGCCCTTAAAGCTAATGGTACAAAGTCAGGGTACCCACAAATTTCCCATGTGGAAACCTCAGGACACCCAAACACTCCCTCCTTTGTGGTTTGCCCAGTTCTTTACCCATTAGGATGGAAAGCAGAAATTAAAAGGATGTAACAGTCTTTTGAGAATTTAATTGCATAGCATGTTAAACCCTCTGTTCTCCCAGAGAGAGAAACTCAGCCAGACCCACCACCCTCTGAGCAGGGGTGCTTTGCCTGCAGATGCCTGAACATTTCTGCAGGCTGTTCTCCATGCACTGGGGCACCCCAAGATCAATCCCCCTGTCCCAGCAGCCCCAGTTCAGACTCTCAGGGGAAGGCAGATGAGCTCTGTGCTCCCTCCCTTGCAGGAAGGCTGAGATGACACAAACACATCATCACTTCCAGCAGAAGAAATTTCTGTCCTGTTGTCTGCTGAGGAACCCTCCTCACCTCATCTGAGCAAAGCAGGAGAGGAAAATGCTTGAGGATTGCTTCACCTCACCCCTTCCAGGCAGAAGTTTCTGGTACCTGAAAATACACAGAGAGTTGTATTTAATAGTATTAATTTAATAGTTGTATTTAAGAATAAATAGTTTAAGGAGTCACAGTTCCATGTTCCATGGAGCTGGAAGCAGGACAAGTCATTCAGTGACCACTGTACAGCAAAGAGACCTCCATGATTTAATTTTGCTTGGATTTGTACCACAACTAAATGGTCTGAGACAGCTAGAGATATTAACATTCATTAGCAACCATCCCCATTATTCAGAAGATAGCAAACCTCAGAATTTTACTGACTATTCCCTCAAATGTTGTTTTGAACAGTTTTAAGAAATAATTAACTTAAAGCTGCAATGTCTTAATTTTGTTGGTACTCATTGTCACCTTTAGCTTTGCACATGTTAAGTATCTTGTTCTTTAGCTGTTCCATCAGTATAAAGGAGATTATTATCTGAAAGTTAATGAGAAAACAAAGAAGCAGAAAGCAGTGTTTTGTTTAAACCAACAGAAACTCAGCTCAGCCTCACCAGTCCCTGGGGCTGGGTCATTGATTTGCCCAAGCCCATCAGCTCACAGCCATGAGATTCTGTGCAGTGTGTGCAGGGTTGAGTGCTTGGCAGATTCAGTTTAGATGTAATGTAATATAATACGGTATAATAAAGCAATTAATTAGCCTTTTGATAAGATGGAGTCCTCCTCATTATTTCCTTCTTTGTCAGGGGCAAAAATATCATCGACAGCTGTACCTGCTTGGGTCAGACACGCCCGGGGTCTATTCCTGGAAGAAGGGGGATGAGCTGGAGCTGGGTTTCTTGCACTGCCTGCTGCTGGGGCCATGCGAGGATGAGGAGGGACATCTAGAGGCCGTGCGGAGCCTGCAACGTGCACAGAGGCAGGAGAGCATCAGGGACAAAACCAGAGCCGTGCTTTGGCAAGCCATGAGACAGGAAAACCACACACTGCAAACACCAAGAGGCACTTCTGAAGGTAAGAAGGTATTTTTTGTCCTGTTCTGAACTTACCCTGTGAGTTTATTTAAGCAGCAAACAGAAAATGTCCACTGGAAGCAGGGTCCAGGCTCCCACCCCGTGTCCCAGACCCACTGGGGACACACAAACCCACAGCTGCATCAGAAACTAGAAGAGACAAGTTCCATTCTCTCAGGAGAAACCAGAAAAGAAAACCATATCAGGTTTTGAAATACATATTTTTGGAAAAGGAATTTTGCTTTTCCAGAGCACACACCACACCTGGTGATTTCTCCCAGGTGAAAGTTGGCAGAACACTCCTGTCACAATTGCACCGACAGAATTGACAAGCACAGGGCACAACTGTGCCTTTATTGCAGTTCAGATTTTAAACTGAGAGTCCCAAAGTGAAAATCTGAGATTTTTACTGTAACATTTTAATTTTTTCCTCAGTTGATTGTGATTTCAAGAAGAAAGCCTGAACACATGACTCACAGCAAGGGAAGTCCAACTGTTTCTGCCCTATTCTAGACATGCCAAACTTCCATACTCTAAAGGATTCAAAAATTCCTCTATTTGTTTTTAAATTCAGCACCTTTTGCCATCATGCACAAACCTGTCTGCTTCCCCTCACACCTGTGCACCCCATGGGTAATTCCATACCTTCCTTCCCAAGGCAAATTCTTCAAAACTCTGACCAAACCCAACCCCTTATGTTCTTCCAAGGGAACATCTTTTGAAATATCATTTTCTTACACAGCAACACGTCTAAAAAAAGTTCAAAGCCAGGTTTCTCTCTGGGTTATTTTTAGAGTTCAATATACACCCTTTAAAGGAGATTTCAGCTTGTCCTTACACACAATGTAACTGCAAGTTAGACATAAAGAAGTGCAAAACTTTCCATTACAACAGAAAACCAAAACCACAGAAATTTTGAAAAGCAAGCAATTCAATTATTTTCAAATTAAAATTGGTGGTTAAAATTGCCTGCCAAAAGTTTTGTTATTGTTCTATGTAAATCATCCACTCCAGCCCTTGTGAATTCAATGCTGAACCTTCAGCCAGTGTGGAAGAACCAGAAATTGTAATGGAGAGGTCAACAAAAGCCAGATTTTTGTTGTTCCATATAAGGACTGTTACCAAGGGAAACAGCAGAATATCCAAAATAAGTTTAGTTTGTTTGGCTTCAGATTTTTACTATAACTAGAAGAGGGAAATTTTAGTTTATTTCTGTGCAGAATGTCTCCATGTAAGTAATGCTCTCTGTCAAAATATTAATGATGACTTCTTAAAGTTCTTCTGTAATCAATGACATCTGTGTGCTCTTGCATGCAGCGAGGCAGGGTCTGCATCCTATGGGAAACCTAAAGGAAAAAAAATGTTAAATCCAAAGAGAAAAAGAGACAAAATATCAGGGAAAATCTGAGTTAGGCTTTCAAATGCACACCCTGATCAGACATTAGGAAGAAATTCTTCCCTGTGAGGTGGCACAGGGTGCCCAGAGGAGCTGTGGCACCCCTGGCAGTGCCCAAGGCCAGCTTGGATGGGGCTTGGAGCAGCCTGGGGCAGTGGAAGCTGTCCCTGCCCATGGAAGGGTGAAAGAGATGGGTTTTAAGGTCCCAAACTACTCCAGAATTCTTTCAACCCTAATTTCCTCAAGCTTTAAAGCTAATAGATCCTGGCTTGTTATTTGGAAGCTGAGGATTAGAGGAATGAGCTAAAAAAGGAAATTTTTTTCCAAACAGAAAATGAAATTGAGTTCCTTATGGAATTCTTAGTGCTGCCTTTCCATAGTGCTGTGTTGGGAATTTAGCTGCTAGAAAATGGAAAAGTACAAAACCATGGCTAATTCCAAGCCCTGCACCTGCACAGACAGCAGTGTCCTTGGGCCTGGCTGTGGTGGGATAACAGTGAAAGAGACATGAGAAAAGAGAGATGCAACCCCTAAGGAATGAGGAAGAGTTCATGGCATAGTTTAACCAATAGATTGCTTGGCTTACAGAATATTCATAAGCTTATTACTCGCTGTATAAGTGTCTGATGCTCTCTTCAATAAACGGAATTTGCTTATCACTCCTATTGAGTGTCTGAGTCTCCCCTCACCGACAAATGGCTCGACCCCAGCAAAGGCCCATTTTCTCTGCGACAGTGCTGTAAAACCAGAGCCCTGTCTGCTGTGCCAAAGCTGCAGAGCTGAAATGGTTTAACAGCAATCAGAGCCCTCCTTGTCCAACACTCACCTGCAGTGGATGCAGAGCTCTCATTTGAGAGCCTGCCCAGGGACGAGCTGGGATGTTGGGATGGGTTTGACAAGGGGAGCTGTTCTCTGGGAGGGAGGGGAGCTGACATCCCCCTGCTGCATGAGGAGCACAGACTGACACTGCTATTTTTACCCCTGTCACTCTGCACCTGCTTCCACCATCTCAGCCCTGGGTAACTGGAGACAGGCAGAGAGAAGGAATTCTGGGGCACCCTGTGAGGGACGGGCCCATGGGAAAGGCCAAGGGCTGCTCCAGCCCCTCACACCCCGTGCACAGCCCAGGCTGCCCCAGCTCTGCCACAACCACTGCTGGGAACAGAAAAAAAACCATTAAAAATAAAGAGTAACATCAGAAAACATCCTCTGCTTGTAAGGAAAAAGGGCCCAGAACAACCCAAATGCCAGGTAGCAGAAAGGACCTGTGTGCACAAAGTTTTTTCTGTCAAATAAGGACTTTAAAACCAAACAAAATTGGTAGATGCTATTTCAGAAATTAAAGCTGACCAAGAAGTTAAATGAGGCAATTTATTACAACTCCCTCTCACAACTGAGAGCATACTCAAACTAGAAGAGAGTCACTAGAATCACCCAATTTGGTGAGACTCCCTACAACAGAAAATACACTAAATCCCAGCATCCTCAAATCTGAAAGTGTTCTGTAGTGGGAGTCAGTACCACAATCCCAATTTTCAGATCCAGAACAGTCAGGTGGAAAGGGATTTGCCAAGGTCACTCAGAAACAGGACTGAACAAAGGAAGAGATTCCCACAGCACCCACATTACTCTCACAGGTTAAATTATCTCCTGAATATTTCATTTGTCCAAACCAAGTTCCTGCTTCCACATCCCTTCCCAGGCTTCCCCATCAGCCTTGCCATGAGCAGCAGACACAAACTCAAAGGCCAGGAAAAATGCCAAATCCTCACACACCCCCTTCCCTCAGACATTCCCAAAATACATTTGGTATTTTTTATTCAAATGAGTTTGTCTTCTACCACACTCCTTCAATTAACATTCCCCTGGGTTGCTAGTTTAATTATCTAGAAATATCCTAGAAAAATAAGCCATGGTATTTGTGGGCATGAAGGATGGAGTGATCTGAGGTGGGTGCCAGCTCCACCTGGAAATTCAGTGAACAAAATTCAGATGATTTAGGTTCACATTTTTACTTCAATTAAAGTGGGATTTTTTTTTTTTTTCTGCAAGGATTATACTCTATAATCTAAAATAACCCCAAGGATATGCTCCAAAATTTCAGACACAGATTCCACATTACATTTAACAATAAACATGCCAGGAACTTATTCTATCAAGTGTTTCCTAATCTTAAATAAAAAATTAGCTAAGCTGGCACAAATCATTAACTGCTTAGGAAAAAAAAAAAAAAATTGAAATGTGGATGTTTAAGCCCAAATTCTTGGTTTTGCAGAATTAGGCTGAGTAATTTCACAGGCCAGAAGGGAAGCAAGAAGGGCCAGGGTGGATAAATGCCATTTCTGGGCTTTGTGCTCTCAGTGAGGTTAAACCCCAGCCCTGCTACCCTGACTGCAATGCACATTGCTTAATGGGAAATACACGAAACAAGGACTTGGAAAAACATAAAAACATCAGCCACTAAGGAAAATATCTTCTTTTGTCTCTTTCAGTGAAACAAAGTATTTCTCAAGACAAAAAGGTTGATGGGATAGAGTTTTGGTTTATGGATAGAGTTTTGGTTTATGGATAGAGTTTTTGTTTATGGATAGTTTTCTTTAAAGGGATGTCTCCTTTTGTATGGAAAAGTCCTGACTCACTGTATGGAAAATGGGGAAGCAGCAAAAGCAAAAAGGAATCTTAATGTGCTATATTATGGATATTTGGAGAATTGTGTGTGTTTATTCATGAAAGCAGGGAAAGAGCTGGAGCAGGTCAGGATTTTATCTTTCCTTCACAGAACATGAATATTATGGTCAGGCTTTTCATGAATCTAAACTGGAAAAACCAGTTCTTGAGATCCTTTGCATTCTAGACTTCCAAGAAGAGACCTGGCAGCTCTCAGTGCTTCAAAGAACCGAATCCTTTAAAGCAGCTCTGCACCCACAGGAGCTCACAACCCGCTTTGTTCCACACCTGCTCTGCAGTTTCAGTTTCTCCAGTGCTGGCTCAGCTCCACTCCCCGTGGATCACGAGGAACTGGGGTGATGAACACCCAACCAACAGCAAGAACTGCTGGAAAAAATCTCACACCATGCCTAAACTCACCTGGGGGACTCTAAAATTAATGTAGTAAAATTTACTCTATAATTAATGTATTAAAATTTAAGTAAAATGGTGGTTTACAATGGGATTTTAAAATGGTGGTTTACAATTGTGTTTTACAATGGTGTTTAACATTTTCAAAAGCAACCAGTGACCTAAAGGAGCCACTTGAAAAGGAATCCAGCACTGAGATGGCTTCTGAGCTCCTCCAGAAAATCAGTGGCCTTAAAGGTACTTCAAGTTGAGCTCAGAGTCTGTCACTTAAGAAATCTTGGTGTAAACCAATAAATTTAGATGAATGGTATCATGTCAGCAATTTCTCTTCCTGCCCTTTTAAAGTAGCACAGAGTATTTTGCAAGCCAAAAGGTGAACAATTTTGGATTAAAAGTAGAAGTATTTCAAATTGAA